CTCTCTGTGCAGCTGGTAATGAGAGGCGCAGGCGACCACAGGCTGGAACTGGGCTCACGTGGCACTCTCCACAGGTGCCTGGACTACGTGCTGGAGGAGCTGAAGCACAACACCAAGGCCAAGGTGATGGTGGCCTCCCACAACGAGGACACAGTGCGCTTCACGCTGCGCAGGTAGGTGCACCCCACCCTGCACCGACACCCCACCCGAGCCGTTGGCTCCTCTGGTTGGGGAGAGGTGGCAGCAGCGCAGAGCTCAGGGTGGGCAGAGCAACCTGCTGGGTGCAGGCGGGCGGTTGTGGGGAAAGGTTGGTGAAATGAGCTGGAGGGCAGCTTCAGTGCCCTGCAGGCCCAGGTCTGCCGGCCTTCTGGACATCGGACTGTAAGCACAAAGGCTCTTTGCAGTTACGTTGGTTTTTAAAATTAACATCTTTTTTTGAGACAGAATCTCGCTCTGTCACCTCGGCTGGAATGCAGTGGCATGGTCTCGGCTCACTGCAACCTCCACCTCCCAAGTTCAAGCAATTCCTTATGCCTCAGCCTCCCAAGTGGCTGGGATTACAGGTGTGCACCACCATGCCTGGCTAGTTTTTTTTATTTTTAGCAGAGACAGGGTTTCACTATGTTGGTCTCAAACTCTTGGCCTCAAGTGATCCTCCCTTCTTGGCCTCCCAAAGTGCTGGGATTACAAGCATCAGCCACTGTACCCAGACTTTTAAAAATTAACATCTGACTTATTAAACTTCACAATTAAAAACCTAAGTTTCATTAGGGGATTCGGAAGGCTCCTGAAAGGTACAGATGCAGTGCTGGAGCCCAGTCCCTCAGGAGGCCTCCACAGCGCCGCCTCATTTATAAGCAGTTCCCTTAACATTTTAACTACATCTGGAACGTAACGGTCTGTTTTCCCTTTAAACATGTGTCCCATGGAGCACAACTTTGGTAGAATTCTAACAAGTCAAATGCAGCAGTTAGGTGAAGTCAGTTCTTGGATATTCCAGTACTGTCACCCCGGTTTTATCTCATGCCTTAGCCCAAGCTATGCACACAATGGGGTCCTAGGTCCCCCTCCCCTCCCAGATTCCGCCTTCCCAGGGATGGGACCCCTAGAACCCTCGGGGGCCTGGGCAGTGGCCTCGCTGGCTCTCACCTTCCTAGGAGCTGAGCAGAGGTTCCACTCCACAGCAGGGCAGGGTGTTCCAGATCCAAGGCTTGTGGCACGAGGGGGCTCCCCAAGGAGCTGTGAAACCACAGGGCTAGGCTTGGGGCCAGGGCTGCAGCCAACAGGACACATCCTGGTGCTGCTCGGGGAGCTGACTCACGGCTCTGAAATCATTCAGTTATGTCCACATTCGGCCTTTGTTCACGATGCTGCTGCTTTTTCATGGCCTGAAATCGCAGCACACCCGCTTTTGTGCCCTGACCCTCTGCTAATTGTCATAGATGGGACAGACTCACTGTCTCCACATGCACAGGCCTGGCGGCCAGCAGGAGCCAGCACTCGGGAGCTGGTGGGTCCTCTCAGCTTGTAATCAGGACTCCTGGCCTCTGGGTGGACTCTCAATGCTGGTGGGCTCATAGCCTGACTAGACACATCACCATCCAACTCCAAAAGGACAGCCTGCCCTCAGCAGGGCTTCCTCTCTCCAGCTTCCCGCCGGCACCTGTCTGTCCCCACTGTCTTGCTGTGGCGGTGGCTTCCCCACTGGACACAGCTTCCCCCTCCCCTGAGTGGCAGCCGGGCTCTCTCCTCATGGCCCCAAGGGCCGTGTGCCAGGTTCCCCCAATACCATGCTCACAACCCTGCCTGAGGCTGGACCCCTGCAGGCTTCAGCTCTGTGCCCCTGCCGTGGGTGGCTGGGGAGCTCTGGGGAACTGGGGCCCCCTCCCCTGAGTAAGTGCTTCTAGACTATGGCAGCTGCTCTGTCCTATGCCGGGCCCAGACTGCCACACCACCTACCCTCAAACAACCCGCATTGGCTTTGGCTGAGGAACCAACCAGCCCCAAACTTAGAGGCTGAAACAGTGGCATGTTCTGCAGGCCTGGGCGGGCTGGCTCAGCTGATGCTTGTGCTGCTGGTCGTGCCTGTGTCCCTCCTGCATCTGCGATCTGGGGCCGGTGGGGCCTAATGAGCTCATTCATGGCTGGGGCAGTAAAGGAGGCTGTACCCAGGTCCAGTGTCCCACAGGCCAGCCCAGGCTTGGGCATGTGGTGGGCTCAGGCTTCCAGAAGGCCTGGAGAGGGCAAGCCTCTGCTTGTGTCACCTTTGGTACCTCCCTGTTGGCCAAAATGCCTCATGAGGCCAAGCCCAGATGCCAGGCGGAGTGAGCTGCTGCCCGGCGCTGGGGGGAGCTGCAGTCACATGGCAGAGGCCGTGCACACCACAGGGGATGGGGCAGCCAGCAATGGCAGCCCGGCTCTCGGGTTCTTGTCCTGGGGTTGAGGGAGACACACGATGGAGACCAGGGCGATGTGGCAGAGACGGGTGCCTGCTTTAGACTAGGTGGTCCCGACACTGGAGCCCAGCCCAGGGATGGAGGGAAAGGGCCTCTGGCTGATGGGTACTCTGGGAGCCAGGGCTGGGGCGGGGGGAGAACAGGGGAGGGGAGGCCCTCGGGGAGGGAGTGGGAAGCACAGCACAGGCCCCGCCAGTCACCCAGGTGATGTGTGAGGAACAGGTGGAACTTGGCCCAGGGTGGGGGCCCTAGTGCTGTGCAGACCGGCTAAGTCAGGATACCTGGATATAGGAAGCTGAATGAAACGTGAGAACTGTCACTGCATGGATATTTCAAACCCTGAGAATCTTTGTAAGACCCTGTCAGGGGTGGTGTGAAGACAGGACAGAGTTGAGGGCCCCACCCCAATATCTGAGCAGTGCTAACAGATATATAATACAAGCCACATCTGCAAAATTCTTTAGTAGCCACATTAAAAAAGAAAATGAATTTCAAGAATATATTTTAATTAACCCAAAATATACAAAATATTACTTCAAATTGTATTCCAGCTGCTTTTAGAAAAGCAATGCGTCATTGAGTATTATGTTTCTACAAAGTCTCCTAAATCCCGTGTGTATGTGACATGTGCAGCACATCTCGGTTCAGGGCAGCCGCCTTCCGAGGACTCGGGGGCTGGTGGCAGCTGTGTGGGACAGAGCAGCTGTGGGGATGGGGCAGAGGAGCAGCCCACAGAGGGCCAGGGCAGGGCCAGAGACCAGTCATACCGCAGAACCCTGGAGGGGCTTGAGGAAGGGATGGCAGGAGAGCCGAGGAGATTCCCTGCCCTGTGGGGCAGGCTGCTGGGTGGGTCAGGGCCCCAGGAAGGGCTGCACCTCTAAGAAGGGAGGTAGAGGAGAGGTGGCAGAGGGGAGGGTGGGGAAAGCAGGAGGAGGATCTTGTTGGCTAAGGGCTGAGGCCTCCCCAGGGAGAAGAGCCGGGCAGAGCCCATACCCCAGCCCCACCTTGCAGGGGATGAAATCTGAAGAGTGTAGATGGGGAACCTGGGGTAGTAGGACGGGCTCAGAGCTGGGACAGGAGACCTGTACCCCTGTACCGGGGACAGTGTCCTGGAACTGGCCCTCAGCTCCTGGCTCCACTTGCATAGGATGGAGGAGCTGTGCCTGCATCCCGCTGACCATCAGGTGTACTTTGGACAGCTGCTAGGCATGTGTGACCAGATCAGCTTCCCGCTGGGTGAGTGGGGCCCTCCCTGGTGTGATGGGGTGCGGTGCTGGGCCTGGACCTCATGGCATATCTGCCCCCTTGCAGGCCAGGCCGGCTACCCCGTGTACAAGTATGTGCCCTACGGCCCCGTGATGGAGGTGCTGCCCTACTTGTCCCGCCGCGCCCTGGAGAACAGCAGCCTCATGAAGGGCGCCCGTCGGGAGCGGCAGCTGCTGTGGCTGGAGCTCTTGCGGCGGCTCCGAACTGGCAACCTCTTCCGTCGCCCTGCCTAGCACCCGCCAGCCCACCCTCGGCCTCCAGGCCCCCCTGCGCCCACCCCAGGCCGTCACCACAGTTGTAACCAACCCCATCCTCACATAGACTCACCTTTTTTCACTCCACACTTGCAGAGCTGCTGGAGGTGGGGTCAGGTGCCTCCCAGCCCTGCCCAGGGTCTGGGCACTCAGGTGTGGGCCGAACCTGCTACCTGCCTGGGATAGCCGTTGGGAACTCTCCCTGGATGTGTGGGCCCAAGGCCCCTACCTCTGTGACCCCCATGTCCTTGGGCCTAGAGGATTGTCCGCCTTCTGCCAGGGCCAGCCCACACAGCCCGAGCCCCTCGGGGAGCAGAGGCCGGGCTGGGGAGGCCCTGCCTGGTCAATAAACCACTGTTCCTGCAGCTGACAGCCCTTGCCCTCACACAGGGTCAGCTCTGGACAGCAAAGAGGGAGTGGCTCAGACAGGGTCAGGGAAGTCTCACCCCAGACTCTGGCTTCCAGCATCATCTGTTCCTGGAGGCCAGGCCCTGCGCAGACCTGGACACCCCCAACCCTGACTCCACAAGGACCCAGCAGGGCCCATGGGCCCAGGCCAGCATGGAGGGGACTCATGCAGATGCAGAGGCCAAGTTCTCTACGTGGGCCTGGCATGCCTTCCCCTGGGGCTCCTGCCACCCAGAGTCCTCTACCCCAGTGACCTGCATCAGGTGCCTCCTAGTGGTTCCCACAGGACACTGACCAGGCTGCGGCAGGCGCACACCTGCACCCCGGGCCTTCTCCCATGCTCTCTAGCCCCAGCCCCACAAAGCAGGCTGGATGTGGTCCTCATGCCCTGGGGCTTGGATGGGGGTCCTGTGCAGATGGCAGTGACAGCATCCTGGGACCAGGGCTGGGGCAGGAAAGGCTGGAGGGTCCCAGTCTCCGTACAGGGGGAGGGGTGGTGGGCTGGGCACACAGCCCAGGAAGGGGCCCCCAGGCAGAGGCCTCTGCTGCAGCAGAGGCAGGGGCCCTACTGGGGCCCTGGTTATGGCAGAACCTGCAGCTGTCACACAAGCCACACGCGGGCCACACTGAGGCATCTTTATTTCTCTGGGTCACACAGAGCTTGGGCCTCGGAGCCTCTTCTGCATGGGGGCTGCAGCTGCCGAGGGAGTGGCTGAGACCAGAACAAGCGCTCCGGTGGCCCGCGGTGCAGGCTGGGATGTGCCCCGTGGAGTTAGAAGGTGTGAGAACCCCCGGCCTCACTCTCTGCCAGGCCCTGAAGCAGACAGCGGCAGGCTGGGCCGGCCTTCCTTTTATGAGACCAACCTAGTGTTTGGCAGCAAGTCCCAGACGCAGGGGGACAGGCAACCGGGTTCCACCCGGCCTCTCCTCAGCAGGGGACCCCTGTGGACAGCTGGGAAGGCAGTGGCCAAAGGTCAAGAAGATGAACTCTGCCCAGACTTCTGCTGCCTGTGGCTATGGTGGGACAGGGCTGCCTTTCTGGTCACACTGGGCAGCAGGTGGCTGCCAAGGACCTCCCAGTCCCAGGGCTGCCTTCCCTGCCCGGCAGCCCCTCTGCTGCAGCTTCCGGATGAGTTCCAGCAGGTTCATCTGCAGCATCAGCTCCTGGGATACAGAGGGGCACCGTGAAGGCCAGAGTGACCCCCGGGCCCCTTTCACCCCGGCCCAAGGGTGTCAGGCAGTGAGCCCACAGAGCAGCCATCCTGTGAAGCCTGGTCATGGCCTGCCAGGACAGGGTAGAATCTGAGCCTCTGCCCCCAGCAGGGCCACTCGGAATGGCATGTGGGAGGGGAGCAGAAGAGGGCCCTGTGGGGCACAGCAGGCCTGGGGAGGGTGGGCAGTGCCCCGTGGCTGGCTGGCTCACCCTCCTGTAGGGAATGGGCCTGGCCTCCGTGCTGGGAATGGCAGAGAAATCCTTTCCAGAGTCTCAATCCTTCCACTTCACCCCCTATACCCTGAGCCTGGCTCCCCAGGGACCAGTGGTGAAACCCCAGATGGAATGGGGTCTGTGGGGCCCAGGGGCACTCGGGCTAGGGCGGAGCAGGCCCAGGCACTGACCTGTGGGTTGGTGGTCACATAGAAGCCAGCCACCCCCGCCTTCTCCAGTGTGCTCTGCTGGTCAGCCACCTTCCGGTCCAGCTCCAGGACGATCTTCCGGTCCATCGCCCGCTGCTCCTCACGGATCCGGTGTTCCACCGCCTGCCGTGGGGGGTGGGGCGGGAGGGGGAGGGCAGCTCAAACACATGCTCCTGCTGCCGTCCCCAGCAGCACCAGCTCTGACACCACCGATGCATCCTCAGCACACCCAGGCCTCTCCTCGGCCATGCGAACTCCTGAAGGGGGCCCTAAGGGGCTTCCACGAATGCCCTAACTTGGGGCTGCCTTGGGACCACACACACATCTCCGCAGGCACACCTTGCCCCGTGGCTTGTTGGTTACATGCCAGTCTCTGGCTGTCCCTGTGCTCCCTGGGAGAAGGATGGGCCCCTTCCTGGCTGGCCCCATCACCCCACCATTGCCCTTGTACCCCCTCAAGGCCACCCGCTCTGCGGAGGCCCCAACCCACGAGGAGCTGCTATCCAGGGGAGCAACGGTGGGCCCTCACCCTCCACCCAGCCCCAGCACACCTGGCACCCTCAGGGAGGAGCCACCTGGTGGGACTCACTAGGCCTCCAGTGGCCCACTCAGGCCCAGGGTAGCCACCCACGCCTGAGGCCCCCACACCCCTTCAGCTCAGCCCAGTCAGCAGAGCCAGGTGGTGCCCACAAGACACCTGGGCCGGCCACCCTGCCTGTGCCCCCCATACCTGTAGTTCTTGCTGCTGAGCCGCCTGAAGCACAGGCAGGTTGTGGGGCCGGCAGGCCTGCTGGGCTTCCTGGTGCTTCTGCCGCAGCGCCTGCCTGAGCACTGGGAGGGATGAGAGCCAGTCAGCAGGCGGTGGGACTCGGCAGCAGCCCTCACCCATGGGCACCTGCCTTGCCAGCCCAGCGGAGCAGCCAGGCCAAAGAGGTATCTGCACTGGGGACGCCGGCCTCCTCCATCCTCCCACCCCACTGTCATCCAGGGCCGGGCCCTCCAATGGCAAGTCTCCAGGGGACTCCAGAAGGTACGGGTGGACTGAAAGAGGGTGGGGTGGGGAAGACTGGCGGGGTGGGGCCAAAGCTGCAGCCCCAGACCCAGGGCAGCTGGAGGAGGCGGGTGGGAGGGAGGCTGCAGTCTGAGGGCTTCAGGGCCCCCATGGCCACAGGCCACTGGACATCTACTCAAGTGTCGGAGACCACCTCAGACAAAAGCACAGGAAAGGAGCAGGAGGAGCGGGGTCGCTGAGCCTGAGTGTGGGGCCTCTGCCTACCAGGGGTGTACTCGGCCCCTCCACCCTTCAGGGTGGGCAGCCGCCTCCCCCATCTGCAGCTCCCAGCCCCTGCACAGCGCCAGACGGAGAAGGGTGAGCTGACCTGGCAGGCCCAAATTTGGGATGAACCTGGGGTGCCATAAGCCTGTGCGGCTCTGGGTCAGGGAGTCTGTGTGGCTTTGAGGGGCTCACCCTCGGCCACCAATCAAAGCTCCACGGTCCCTGCTGAACTGTGCACAAACACAGATGTGTGCAAACTCTAGTCTGAAGAGAATGTACAGAGGAAGTAATCATGGGACATAAACCATCATGGCAAAAATGGAACATGCAGCACCCCGCAGCTGGCGCCACTGCAGTAAGTGCCAAATGGCTACAGCTCCCCAGGAAGGAGGGGTCCCTGGCCACAAGAAACGTGAAACCCAACACTCTGTTCCTGGGAAGAGCCCTGATGTTGCAGCTCTTCTCTGGTAGCAAGTTTCCAGGGAACTTCAGGGTCCCTGAGGCTCCCCTGCAGGTAGCCTGGCTCCCTCTGTGCCTGCAGCCTTCCCCGATCTCCTATTTCTTGGCATTCTGTACACACCTCAGTGATGGCATTTATCACATGAAATATGTTTCAAACCAAGAGCTCCCTCGAGACATCTCCATAACACAGGGAAGCAGGGAAATGTCATCTCCTTCACTCTACTGATCAAACATTGCTGCAAGTGCCAGGCCCACTACCAGATTCCACTAGGTAGGCAACCAAAAGGCAAGAAGAGAGCCACGCCGGCTGCCTGTGTAGAGAGGGCCTGGCCTTAGACATGCCCAGGGAACACAAAGGAGGCAGGAGCAGCCAGTCACCCCTGCCAAATCAGAAAGGAGAAGGAGAAAGTCAACGCAGGCATGCCTGCTGCTGGTGGAACCAGGGTCTGGCCCAAACCTGAAGCACAAACAGCACTGGGCCCAGGCAGTTACTGAAACTCCCCATCCTGCTAGAAGGAACCACAGCTCTATGGAAAAATGGCGGATTCCAGGACTGAGACAGGGAGAAAACAAGAAAAGATGAGCATGAACATGTACGTGAACCAGAAAGCAAGGAAGTACTCACAGAATGACGGGGAGGCATCTAAAGGAGCCTGGAGCGCCCCCACTGGCCACACATGGCACAGTCTGAGCAATAAGGAATAATGAGCCATGCCCTTGGAATTAAACTGTATGCCTCTTACAGCTCAACAAAAAATTTTAAAAAGACAAACGCCCAAACATTTAGGGGAAGAAGTAATGCCAATTACACACAAACTCTTCTGGAAAACTGAAGAGGAGAGAACACTTCCAAACTCATCCTATAAGGCTGGCAAAAACCCTGATACCCAAACCAGATATTACATGAAAACTATAGACCACATTTTGTCATGAACATAGACAAAAAAATTCTTAACAAGATTTTAGCAAATCAAATCCAGCTTACATAAAGAGGATACTACAGCACGACCAAGTAGGATGGAATTCAAGTAACTGTAATTCACTGTAGTCATAGAAAATGATTCACCACGTGATCATCTCAAGAGCTGCCAAACAGGGGTCTACCAAAATCCGACATCCATTCTTGATAGAAACACGAATCCCGGAGCAGATGTACAGTGCCTGCCTTCTGGGGAGGGGCGCCTTGCTCCGCTAGGAGGAATTTTTGCCACATTAAACCTGCTTCTAATCAGGCTTCTACCAGCAGTCCAGTGTACAGGAAACCCAGAGAGTGGAGAAGCAGGTTAAATGCACGAGGAAGCAGCCTGATAGATCCAGAGCAGGGCATTTGCCCTGGACTCTACACAAAGTCAATGCCACGATAAATGCTGGGGACTGTTCCAGAAGCAAAGAGACCAAAGTAGCCAATTGTAGTACATGAACTTGGACTGGATCCTTACTTATAAATCAACAATTTGCCACAAGCTAGGTAGCATGATGTGGCCGTGCACTGAAAGTCAGGAGTCACCCGGAACAGTTAATTTCTCAGGGGGCTACCCTCGGCAGCTGTGTAGGAGACCACTCTTGTTCTAGAGAACTTGCTCCCAATCCGAGGCCAAGGTTGACCCCACCCCCCGGTTATCTGGAGGCATTCTTGGTTTTCTGGACTAGGGAGGGTACCCCTGCCACCCTGCAATGCGCAAGACAGCATCTCACCATAAAGACTTACCCAGCCACAAATGTCAACATTGCTGGGTTGAAAATCCTGGTCTCCAGGAACGCTGAAGACTCTAGGTGAACCGCTATGCTGTCACATGCACGCATTTTGGGATATCAAGCACTAGAGCAGAACGTTCACTACTGAACTTTCAGCGGCGAGCACAAGCGCACGCAGTAGACTATCTTTTCAGCTTTTCTAAATGTTTCAACTTTTAAAAGAAGTTTGGGAAAAATAAAATAGCGAAGGTTGAAATCTGATGGTGCAGGGGGACCTGGCCTATATAATTTGCAGGAAAGGACTCCCAAGCGCACCAAGCATGCGGCTCAAGTGGGAAGCTCTTCGGGTTTGCGAGGGCGCCACAGGAGACAGTGCTTAGGAATTTGATGTGCAACTGGAATGAGGCCCTGCGAGGCCTGAGAGAGAACTGACCCTGAAGGGCGCTGCACAGCTGTCAACAGACCTCCAATTACGAAGGGCAACCAGTCAGAGCCACCACCAGAGTCTGCCTGTAGGCCAACCAGGCACCGAGGCCTAGGGCCGTCCCACCTGGAAGGGGCTGGGGCACAGGGAAGCCCGAGCAAGGAGTTTCTGCTAAGAAGTGGGGGCTGCAGCAACTGAAAACAAAACTAGTTGGACCCACTGGTCACTAAAAAGGCGCTGTCTCAGTCTCCGCGCCCATGGGTTTTGTCAATCTCGGGGGCCTTTTCCGAACACTCCCAGGGAAGGAGCCGACCTGCACAGATACCAAGAGCTGCCGGGAGGCGCCGACCCCGAAGAGGAGGCACCTCGTCCCGCTGCCCCCGCGCACCTCGGTGCTCGTTCTGTAGGCGCAGGCGCTGGTTGTATAGGCTCTTTTCAGTGAGGTGCTGGATCTCCAGTAGCCCCTGCACGATTTCGAACACTGTGCCGTCGAGAAGCGCCAGGGCCAGGTCGCTGAGCGTGGTGTAGGACAGGCGCTGCTGGAAGGAGCTGCGGGGTAGGGGGGCGCGGTGAGCCCTGGAG